TGGGGGGGGACCAGCTCCCACTGCTGCTCATCCGGGGGGGAGGGGGGGCTGTGTCCCCGGATCTGCATGGGATGGAGCAGAGCAGGCTGCAGCTGTGGGCTGGAGGCCGTGCTGCACTCAGGGTGGGTGGTGGTGGTGCTGGGAGGGCATTAAGGGGTGGGGACTGCAGCCACCCCAAATTTCACTGTAGCCCCCCCAATGCTGCTGCCACCCACACCAAGAACACGCCCCCTGTGCCCTCCTGAATGAGCAGCAGGAGCCACCAAATAACCAGACGAGCTGCCAAGTGAGCTGCACACAGCAGCAGGAACTGCTTTCCATCCCTGCCACCAGTGCCCCTGGACAAGTCACGGATCTGTCCCATGCCCTCTCTGGCCCACCTGGGCAGTGCCTGTCCCAGGTCTGCTCCCTCCCTCACCGCGGGGGACATTGATCTGCCCCCCTACGCCCCTTCCCTCCCCCCTCCCCTTCCACAACAAACTTACCAGCTGCACACAGCTCTCTAAGCTGCTGGGCTGTGCTCACTGCCTATGTGCTGCACTGTGGCTGTGCACATGCATGGGCTTTTATTGGCCAAATTATCAGCCACTTCATGCTGATTTCCATTATAGTAAATTTTCTTTATATTGGCACCAATCCGATATCGAACCAGTATGTCGGTGCACCTGTACTGTGCAGCTTTCCTTTCCCCTCTTCCCTGCTAGACTGTGCCCACCCAGAGTTAAAGAATAATTTGTAAGCTAACTGGTTATTACTGCACTTATTGGTTAAATGATTAAAATTTTAACTTTTTATATCCCTGCTTCTTAGAGGTGGTGTTGTGGCAGCTGAGTTTGATTCATGATATTTCTGTTATCTAGTGGATACTCTAATCTGGTAGCAAAACCAGACAGTACTATGCCTGTTGTTCATGGTAAAATGTCAGAAAGCATGATTCTTCTCTCATCTGGACAACCACCAATTCTTGGGTTTCTGTCTAAATTTAAAAGGATTTCCTTTTTTTAATCAGGAAGACAATATTTTGTGTCCCAAGTATTCAGTGAATATTGTAATTCTAAGATTCAAACCATATTTTAGTTTTACCCCTCTATTCAATATTGCTTCTAGGCTGTTGTGGAACTTGAAGCATTCATGGTTGTTATGCCTGTGATTTTAGGAAGGATCTCTGAGGGAATGGGAATTCTCTAAGGAGCACAAGGACAGAGAAGTGCAGGTAATCTGTATTTTCCTTATCACGGCTACAGAAGACTGTTTATTTTTTGGTCTTCCATTCTATAGGTTCTCATCTCCAGAGGAGGTTATACCCAAACTCATGTGTCAGGCGTTCTGAAGGAAAGGCAAGATCAGAAGAACACCCTGACCAAAGCTTACAGACACAAGAGAACACCTTTCTTTGGAAGTAAGTGTTTCTGTTTCTATAGCTCACACCTTCAGGGACCCTCATTCTCAGTTGCTTCTTTTTAAATAAGAAGCAAAGTCCCTCCTCATTTTAAGAGAGCTTGCTACCAACAGAGATCATGCTAGACTCCTAACTTTGCCCTTGATATCAAGTTAATGGTTTCTTCATCTCTTGTACCATGTTGAAAGAAATAGTGAGGCTCAAGATAAGTGGAGGGTGGCAGAATCTGACCCTTTACTTACCTTGATTTGTGCCTTCCTTTGATGTATGAGAGAACCAAGTTCTGTCTCCATAAGTGACTTACAATGTGACGAGAAAAATCATGTAGTCACGTAAAATGCACCTTGGGCAGAATTTAGGCACCTAAATTGAAATAAACAATCTACAGAAATCCTGACTACCTATTTATATGGCAGGGTATCCGTAGGTGCCAGGGACTACTTAGTCCTTTTGCCTTAGAGTGTCATGTACCAAAATATACATGTAGTGTTGGAGATGGGCTGAAACCCATGCCTCTCTCTCTTTTCACTGGATTACAGAGCTGTATTGCTTTTTCTCTCTCTGGCCCCGTGAATCTTGCTTTCCTTTCTGCATAGTGGGACAGCTTCAACAAGTAGGGTGTAAAACAGCCTCATTCCAAGCCTAGTCTGTACTCTGGTGCTTAGACCCCATTCCTAGGAGGTGAAATGAAGAGATCTGAATGCCCCTAGGCTGGGAATGGCATAAAACTCGCATCTCCTATTTCCTGGGAAGGCAGTCTGACTGCTGGATTCCTTTGTAAACATTAGGTATCTGTTCTTCTGTCAGGTCGTGAAAGAAAGAAGCAAATGTGTTTTCTGTACCCAAAGGGTCAGTTTAGCTGATGAAGTCCAGGAATAAATTTCAGACTAAATCTCAGGCACATATAGGTGTCTAACTCATATCCAGGAATCCGGGTTATTGGTTTGCTGTGGAAAAAACACACATTTTCTCCTTCAATGGAGAAAAATGTGGATTTTCTCTTTTCAAGGAGAAAATCATAGATTTTCCCCTTTTAAAGAAGGAACGCATGGGAAACAGCAGGGTCTCCTTTCAGGCTGGCACAGTTCCAGCCTGCAAGGGACTGCTTCTGGCTGACTGGCAGGAGTGGGAGAAGAGTGAGCAAGGCAGGGGGTGCCACATGCATGGGCACGCACACATATGCATGTGGCAGCCAGGAAGCTTGGAGAGCAGCTCCTGCAGCTCTCTGCAGGTAAGTCTGTGGGAGTGGGGATGAGGATCGGGAAGGCACAGGCCACACATTGGGCAGAGGGGAGAGGAGGAACAGGCCACTCATTGGGCAGGGGGAGGGGCACAGGCCACACAGAGGGAAGAGGGGGCACAGACCACATGTTGGGGGTAGGGTGGGAAGGGGCACAGCTAATGTGGGGGGGGCATGTGTCCCCTAAAATTTCTTTGCCCACAGTGGGGCACAGGGCTGGACCAGCTCTGGAGGAGCCACCTCCATGGTGCAGGGGAGGGACCCAGTGCAGGAGAAAGTGTCATGTCACCATGGCTGCCAAGGTGAGGCACAGCAGTGATGCGGAGTTGTGGCCCCCACTGCTACGGGGCAGGCAGGGGGCACCTCAAATTATGGCCGTGGTGCTGCGGCGCTCCCTCCCATGCCAGGTCCCCCCTGCTGGGCCACGGAGGCAGCTCTTTGGAAGCTGGTCTGGCCTGGCTGCAACCCCTTACCTCTCACTGTGGGCACAGAAATCTTGGGGGGGCATGTTTCCCTGCCCCCCCCTGCAAACATTACCTGTGCCTCCCACCCTCAATGTGTTACCTGTGCCCACACCCCACTTCCCCCCATACCCACTCCCTTGCTCATGTGCTGGGGGCAGTGAGTTAGGAGTGAGGGGCACCAGCAGGCCTGAGGGGGCTGTGGCTTGGAAATGAGGGGCAGGGGCAGGGCACTGGCATATCAAGGCTGCTCAGTGCCACAAAGGGGTGGGGGGAGCAGCTGCAGGTGGACCCACATCCTGGTGAGGAAAGGGGTAGGGGGAGCTCTGATTTTTCCATGATAAAAAGCCCAAAATCAAATACCAAAATATATAGGCATTTAGAATTTATTTTATTCTAATGACTGAAGCACTGGTAGGCTTCCAAATTGCTTTAAAATTCTAAATATATCAATAAAATGTTGTGTTCAACTGATACCTATATATATATAGTGGCGTTTCATTTTAATAATGGAAAAACACAGGTTTTGGGTTTTTAAATTGGGAAATCTGTATATGGCGGTTTATCAGAGAATTTTCGATTTTTAAACAGACAAAACCAGGATTCCTGCTCATGTCTCTAGGTAGGCACTTAAGTCTTGGAGAGAAGTAGCATTTTGAACCAGCTTCTCTCTCTTTTGGCTGATTGAGCATCATTCCTTCCTCCATTTTTAGATGCATAATTCTCCCCTTAGATGCCTAAGATGGGTTTGTGAATTCTATTCCTTTTGCTGGGAGGCTGAATTTTATGTGTGGTGATGCTATGCTTAAGTGTCTTTGTGGATCTGTGCTTTAATGACCTCTCCCATGATTAGATACAGAGGCTGAAGTTTAACGGAGGATTCTCTAAAGCAGTGGTCCTTTACCTTCTTAGACTCAGGGCACCCTTCAGATAATGCCAGCTCTTAGTTTCCACTTGTTTTTCAGACTACAGAAAAACAATAGAGCATTTCTTCTGTTGCAAAGAACACAGGCCACAACAGGTCAGAATGTTTTTAACACAGTGGATTCCTGTTTGAAATGTTTGGGTTTATTTTGTGAATCATGTTTGCACACCTCCAAAGCATCCTTGAAAGGATCTCAGGGCATCCCAGGTTGCTGCACTACCTTGGTTGAGAATCATTGCTCTAGAAAACGAATTAAGACCTTCCCGTTCCAGAAATATTAGTGTGGATTTAGGCTTTTTTTTTTTTACGCAGATATTCTTCCAAATTCTGCTTGGGATCGTATTTGGCACTGAACTTGCTTTGTTTCCTCTTGCCTATGATCATTACAGTTTATTACTTTTACAGAGGGGATCTGCACATTCATATTCCTTTTATTTCTCTTGGATATGCTGTCTGGTAGTCTCTCTCTTATTCAGAGTGGACAAAATCAGATTTGGAGTGCAAATAATTTAAGATAATTTGCAAAATGTTAGGACTGCTTTAATTTTTCTTTGCATTTCATTTGAATCTTTTTTAATCCATCAAAATACCATAATTTCTTCATCACTAATGTTTCTGAGCACCTTGGTGTCTATCTTATTTCTTAATTAGAGTCATTGCAATAATATTTGTGAAAATTGGTGTTCATTTGATTTAATTGTATTAATTGCTGTCTGGGTACTGAGCAGTACAGATCATATTAGTGTGTACAGTCTGTTTCTTGTGGAGGTTATGATCTAAACCAGACAGATACTTCACTACAGGCCTAAGTGTCAGGGACCAGGAGATTATATAATATGTAGTATATAAAACAGTTATTTTCAAGTAAGCAACGCTACCTTCTTACATTGGCATCTCTGTTTTGGGTTGTGATGGTTTCCTGGAAGTATGAACAGGGAGAAGGATATTGTTTAGTGAAGATACACAAATTCTCAGCCCAAGCTTTTGCTGGTTGTGTTTGCAAGGTAAGTAGCTCTTTCGCTCCCTTCCCCTAGTATGTTTATCTAGAAAGTTCAGTGAAATATATTCAGTCTTTCATGGTGGTGTAGACAAATAGTTCATAAATTTTTCTTTTTCTAGTCAATTACTATAATATCCAAGCCACCCTTGATTTAAAACCTGTTGTTTACACTGACTTGCACTAAGCACAGGAAAGCATTATACTTATTATGATTTCTTTTCTCAGAGTCCCTGTGTAGTTTTTTTATTGATTGTAAATGAATAACATTTAAGACCTTTCAGGGTCTGGTTTCTCTTCATTTAAGTGATTTACTTTTTTTCTCTTTATTGTCTTCTCTGTTTGTTGAGTTTATTTGACCCTGGTCTTCTTATTGTTCTCACTTCTCATTTCAAAATCCCCAGTGAGTGAGCCTGCAGGCTGTGTGTGGAACTTGATTCTTTAGTGTGTCTCAGACTGCAGTTCCCCAAATGGTTATAAAGAAGCAGCAAGAGACAAATTTTACCCTTAGACAGTCCTCATACATAAAGGAATGCAATGTTTATTGAATATTATTCTGTCAGGTGGAGCCTTGAGGTATGATGACTTTAAGTGCACTTCATTAATAATAAAGATATGATTCTTTATTTTTTCTCTTTCCTTGGCTTGCTGTATCTTGCGCCAGCTTGTGAGAATAGTTTATCCTGGCTGAAAAGGTGTGGAGTTTTTTTCTTGTTTTTTAGTTTTGTGAAGGGTAGAATGTACAGATTCACGTGACTACAGTAGTTGGTTAAAGATAACATGGGTGGAGTTCAACATACTTTTTTCACTAAGGCTGGCATTGGAAGTAAATATTAATTTCAGGCATCTGAGGCCACAGAAGAGTTCTATGCAGTAATTAAAATCTGTTGCTTCTTGAAAGCCCTTTTAAGCCCTGTTACACCGTTCTTCTTCCTCTGAACCTGGATTAAAGCACATCAGCATGAGGAAGCATTCTATGACCAGAACACACGTTTGCCCTTTGGGAAGGGGATGCAAATCTTACACTAGTTTAAAAATGGCAGGATCCAGTGTGTGCGCCAAACTTCTTTTCTGTTATGGGTATAGGCCACTTCTGTTACAGGTATAGACTGGTTTTTGATCATGTACACCAATAAAAGTGTAACGTCTGTACCTGGTCCTGAAGCACTATATGGCTAGATTTATAAACTAACAGCTGCTGTAGCTTGCTGAATTGAGAAGTCTTGCCGCTCCTGGGTGAGAGCTATTTTTTTCCAGCAGTAAAAACAAAGGTGAAGGATACTCTCGTTGTTTGTGTTATGGTGCTCTCAGACTTTTCTAAGTTCTGTGACAGAAGGACCAGAAGAAGAGACAGCTTTTGGTACTATTTGTGATACCCTTT